TACGGAAGCCAGAGGTCAACATCTGCTGTCCTGAATTGCTGTCCACCATATTTTTTAAGGAAGGTCTTTCACCAAACATGGAGTTTGCCAATTGACTAGACTGGCTAGCCAGTAAGTCCCCTGCATCCAAAACCTACTTGCTACTTGTCTCCACTGCTCAAATGTCTAGCTTTTATGTGGGTGCTAGGTATCCAAACTTGGGTCCTCACACTTCAGCAGCAAGCATTTAATTCACTGAACCATCCTCCAAGGCCCCCAAAGATTATCTTCATACATTTCTGCCTTGTAAATAAAGACAACAAAAGCAGCCACACACCACAAAGACAGCTTAAATTACAGTAGGCTTTTGAAACTAACCAAGTTTAAAAACAAAAAAATCTAGTTGCAAATATCTTCCTGTCATTTAACTGGCAATGTAGTGTTACTTTTGAGTATCTAAAAGTAGGAGTCATAAAAACAGTATTTGGAAATGAAGATTCCAGACTTGATCAGATAGAGATCCAAATTGGTCTCTGGAATATATCATTAATTCAAATAAAGTTCTCATTGTAATAAACAAGCTGGATAAAATTCAGATAAAATTGTTCAAGCAGTTGCTTTTTTTTTTTTTTCCTATACAGGGTTTCTCTATTTAGCCCTGACTGTCCTGGAACTTGATATGTAGGCCAGGCTGGCCTCAAACTCAGAGATCCGCCTGCCTCTGCCTCCAGAGTGCCAGGATTAAAGGCATGTGCCACCACTGCCCAGCTTCAAGCAAGGAGTTCTTCTAGGGAAAATGTGTAATAGGTCTTTCTTCCTAGAACAGCTGTAACAAGGAAGGAAAAAAAAATGCTTAAGAATTATATGCAGAAGGAAACACAATAACCAACCTGCTTACACGTGGGAATAAAACAACTTGAATAGCTTCTGACAGGTCTCAATGTAGAACCTTCTCTTGTGTGACATACCTAAGGCCAGCACAATAACTGGTTAATGTATACCTTAAGAACAAGCAGTGCATCTCAACATTAATCATGAGGAGCATTCGAAAGAAATAATGGTGGCACATGCCTTTAATCTCAGCACCCAGGAGACAGAGGCAGGTGGGTCTCTGTGAGTTCGAGACCAGACTGGTCTACAGAGTAAGGGCTACACAGAGAAACCCTGCCCTGGGATCAGGAGCAGATCTAACCCCAGTACCCAGGAAGAAGAGGCAGAAGGACCTCTCTTTTTCAAGACAGCCTGGTCACATAGCAAAGCAAGTCAGTTCCAGGATGGCCAGGGCTCCATAATGAGACCCTCTCTGGGGGATGGGGGCTTCAATTTGTAATAACTTTCAGTATCTTCAGAAAAACTAGGGGAGAAATGACTGTTTCACAAGTTTGCCTAACACATTAACTCCTCTCTTCTAACTGTGGTCCTCTATAGCTACCTTAAATTTTATCCAAGACTACAGTACAAAACACAAACTTGGTTTCTCCACAGCACTTGCTTATCTATGTTTCTCCACTTTTCTGCGGAAGTCCTGGAATTATATACAGGAACTAAGTTCTAAATTACAGAAGCCTACATCATTTGTTCTTCTGTTTCCTTAAACACTTATTGAGGTGGCAGGTGTGAGAAGAGCCCAACACATACATTACTAAGTGTGTCAGACCTGTGCTCTCAAAGGAGCACAAGTAAGTTCTACACAAGCTACTGAAGCGACAGTTGATACAACATCAGTAAAGGCAGTACAGAGATGGGATTCTAAAGATATACAAAATTTCACTCTGTTACTGTTATGTTCCAGGTATTTCCCCAGCAAACTACATAAAGGCATGCTAAGTATAGTCAGCTCTCCACAGCCACAGGAGTTACTTGCCCACAGATCCAACCAACGCTTGACTGAAAATAAATGGGAAAAATATTGCAGCTGCCTGACCATGTATATAGACTTATTATCCCTGAAAAAAAATTACATGGAATTTAATTATAATAGGTATTATAAAAAACCTAGAAGTGCTTTAAAGTATATACAGAAGTTATAGACAAATATTTATATAGAATAACATAACATCTGAAGATCTGGGTATACAAAACGCACCTCAGAACCAATCCCCAAGGGAAACCTTGAGATGACTGAACACTGTCATTTGGTAAGGCTGAAAACGGACCACATCAGATGGAAAATAATTGTGATATATGATGCTGGGTAGAAAGGACTGTATCATAAAGGCTCTAACTAAATGTATGCCTTTACCTTTAGAAAAGGAGTCACCATGAAATGTTTCTCAACAGAAGAATAAAAATCCTATCTATCTCAGAAAGGTTAATGTAGGGCAAATCAGACAGAATGGACTGGGATTATGAAATGAAGAGGACTAGGAGCACCCTAGAACATTTTAGACTATGTGAAGATTGCAGGTAGAGTGTGCATCTACTATGACTACCACACTCTATGAACTAAAAACATTTCTGCAGTCATCTCATTAGGTACAGGGAAAAAGAAAAACTAGTTTCCCAAGAGATGGCAATGTAGACAGAGATGCCAATAACCAAACAAGAGAGAAAGGAGCAGCTAATGCTTGAGAGGGTCCGAGGTGGGCACACACTAGATCTAACCATATGGTAATTAAAACGTTAAGTGGGAAACCAGGCTAACTGAAAGTCCTGCAGTCAGAAAGATAACTTGAGGAACTGAGCTTAGAGAATAAAGGAAAGACCATGGTGACTACCTTATTTAGCGAGTCAGGGAAGCAAATGAACTGCTCCAAACACCGAAAACCCACCACCATTCCCACAAAGAATAGATACCATAGAGCTTTAAAAAAAAAAAAAAAAGGGAGGGAGGGAAGGAGGAAGGGAGGGAGGGAGCAGGGGAGGGGACAAAGAAACAATGCTTCAAGATTAAACGAAAGTACCAAGAAGTCTCAGGGATGGCTCTGGCCATAAATGGTTACCTCTGGAAACACCATTTCTGCTGGGGGATTAAGAGAGACTAAATGTGCAGTGAGTAAAATGAGGAAAGATGAAGAAATGAAGATTTCCAAGAATTTCACTGAAGAGAGTGAGAACAAAAGCCCAGCTCAAAAAAAAAGGGGGGGGGATGTTTCTGAAGACAGCAAACGAGATGTTTCACGTAATAATGTGGCTCAGTTAAACAGAATTTCAACAAGAAAATTCTGTGAGGATGGACAAAACTGTCCAAATTAATTTTGGAATTACAGTTCTTGTATTGACACAGTAATGGCCGGCAAGTCACAGCGAAGAAACATACAAGTGGGCTGGAGAGATGGCGCAGAGGTTAAGAGCACTGGCTACTCTTCCAGAGGACCTGGGTTCAGTTCCCAGCACCCACATGGCAGTGCACAACTGGCTGAAACTCTAGTCCTAGGTCAGTGGTTCTCAACCTGTGGGTCACAACCCCTTTGGGGGATCAAACGACCCTTTCACAGGGGTCGCCTAAAACCACCAGAAAACACAGATATTTACATTATGACTCATAACAGTAGCAATATTATAGTTGTGAAGTAGCAACAAAAAATGGTTGGCGTCACAACATGAGGAGCTGTAATAGAGCATTAGGAAGGTCGAGAACCACTACTCTATGGCATCCAAAGCCCTCTTCTGGCCTCTTCTGGCACTGCACACGAGTGGCACAGACACACATACAGGCAAAAGACCATACACATAAAATATACAGTATTTTAAAAAGAAACTAAAATAGTTTGCTTTCAATTTCTACTTAACGTAAGTTATACTTGCCCATATATTTCCCTCAGCTCATTCATATTCTTTAACTGGGTATGACATCCAGGACAAGCTAGAAAGATAGATACCTGAAATGCAAGACTACTTCCTCCCACATTCTGGCTCTTTCAAAATCAGTATATCCATCTCTTAACTTAATCTCTTACTGCTCATAAAAGAAAAAGTATCTCTTTCAGGCTCTGTGTTTAATATTCTCTATCTCCATCTGCAGTACACAATCTACAGGAACTAAACAATAAGGCTAGGAAAAGTTGGGTTTGGGGGCACAGGCCTGTTCCTTAGGAACCAAGGCAGAAAGGGCACAAGTTCAAGGCCTGCCTGGGTTGCAAAGTCAGCCTAGACTACTGTCTGAATGAGTATTAGAGAGCTGGAACTCTAAGTCTGTGGTACACTTATCCACCAGTTCAATCTCCAAGAAACTTAACAAAGCCAAAAAGGGCTTCAAAGCTCTCCCCACTGCCATCCTAGTCACTATCTGAAGTAAGCTGTCAGAGCCAGATTAAACATCGTTTTTTTCATTAAAGAAGCAATGCGTTTTAAAACCAGCTAAATTTTGTTTATATATCAAAGAAGCTGGAGAAAGAATAAGAGCTTTCTCATCACTCAGACAAGTATAAAAATACACCATGTCGCTGGGCGGTGGTGGCACATGCCTTTAATCCCAGCACTCAAGAGTCAGAGCCAGGTAGATCTCTGTGAGTTCGAGGCCAGTCTGATCTAAAGAACAAGATCCAGGACAGGCACCAAAACTACATAGAGAAACCCTGTCACCACGTCATTTTTTTTTTTTTTTTTTTTTTTTTTGAGACAGGGTTTCTCTGTGTAGCCTTTCCTGGAACTCACTCTATAGCCCAGGCTGGCCTCAAACTCACAGAGATTTGCCTGCTTTTGCCTCCCAAGTGCTGGGACTAAAGACGTGCGCCATCACTGCCCGGCTCACCTTGTCACTTCTTAAGAGCCTAAAAATATTTTCAAAAGGATGGCACTTCCATCCTCTTCCTGCAACAGAGGTATTCAGGTCAAGGAAAGACTTAGTGTGCACTCCAGAACCCATACCTAACTGGAGATCTGAAATGACCTCAATGTCTCCTCTATTGTGCAACGTGATGTGTTATTGTTGGCCTTTAGGTGGATTAAACAGACTTTCAGGTTAGAATCACTTTCAGGATTTTACGATCTAAAGATAGAAATTGGAACTTTCAAAGAGTATGAGACTAAAATATAATGTCAAATTTAAGAAAATAATTACAAAACAAAGGTAAGAAGACTGTGGTTATCAATCTTAGTATTTATTGAAAGGTGGAAGACAAGGAAAATAGCCTCTCAAATGCCAAAAACAAATCTGTACCTTGGCTAAAGTGAATAATTGCTTTACATATCAAGAAAATGTCCCTCTACCCCCAAAAAACTGAAAGTTTACCAAACAATGCTAATTTATTATTTACAAAAAAAAAACACCAAAAACAAAACAAAAAAAAAAAACTTTACCTGCCACAAAACTGAATTTAGAAAGCAAAACCTATTTTGAGTACATTAATTAAATTTCTTAAACATTTAACCTAAGAAAATCTTTCCTCAACTGCCTACTACTCCCATTTTGGAAACAAATATTTCAAACAAGTTTATACAGAAATGCATACATACATATAATACACAGTGTTGTGCTAAACCAACCTGATCATTAAGGTCAATAGTCCTGTCATAAGGAAGATAATCAATATATGGCTTTATGTAAATTTGCAACTAAATATCAAAAATGTTTAATTCCTTTGATAGCTAACCTGAGTATTGGATATATACTACTTAGCTAAGAGGATATAAATAAAATGAGAAAAAAAAAAAGAGAAAAAAGTATATATCTCAAACACCACTGAGATACCTAAGTTTTTATGTGAAGGTCTGTATATTACTTAACAACATTTAACAATCACTCTGTATAGCATATGACCTTATTAAAACTGTATCTTAAGTGCTTTATTGTTCTGGTCCAAGATACTGGAAATAAAAAAAATCTTTTATTCACATGGAGAATGGAAATATACTAACTAAAAAACCATTAATATGCAGTATTAAAATAGGTATTTGTGTGTAACAAAGGTAGTTAACAAGTTATCAGATGGGCATCTGAAGAGGATTTTTAAAAAATAACCCGTAAGACCAGGGGCATAAGCATGATTCAAGTCTATAAGGCTTTACTGAAACCTTGAGCCTGTTGGTTACTCATACCTCACCTTCACAGAGATGTATGCATTTGACAAATGAATTTAATCTTTCAACTATGGATAACTGACTATGGTTTGCATAAAAACAACAACTATACTGTCTCAGACATGCCTTCTTTTAAGCTAAAAATGTAAGGCTCACATATTATGGAGACAACCTAACAGCATTTTCTTACAGTATGACATCAGTGTGTCTAGATATATGTGACTAGAAATAAAACATACTGTGTTAAATATATCACCCTCAATTTAAAAACAAAATTTTAACAGTATCCCTTCCTATGTCTTAATACTCATTTATTAAGAATTTGTTTCCCAGAAAGATGGTTAAAGAACCCTAAATTTAGCTTAAAGTGGCTTAAACAAGTACAGTGAAAGACAGCTAGTTACATATAAAATAAAACCCCTATTTACACTGTCATGATTTTTAACTTCTCTATTCCATGAAACATCCCCCACTACAAACATATTGAGTTCCTACAAGCCACCAAGATTTCCTATTTTATTTGCCTATCTTCTTTTTAAGTCAGGAGATGAGATTCCCCATTGTTGCTAACGTTGATTTTCATCAGTTCTGGTAAAAACATTTTTCTAAGTGGTCTAACCAACTAGAAGCATGAGCTTTGATGGCTTACCCGAAATGAGAAGAAAATGGAACCCACTGAAGGGAAATAGCAGTCTCCCAAAAGGCATGCAGCACAAGGAAAGCCACCTGAGAGTCACCAATCAAGATAGGGGCCAGAGTACGACAAAGAACAAAACGTTCATAATGCTTAAGACTCCTTCCATCCACACACATCCAGTACTCAACTTTTAATTATGTAAGTGGAAGCAGACTATGCTACTCACCTTGTAGGCATTGGCCACCCTGTTTCCTACACAGTGAACTTTCTAGAGCATCTCTAGAATGCTACACCTGACATCTGCCTTGTGGCTGGGGACGGGTCCTGAGAAGGATGGGCTTACAGTGTGTGTCAGCTACATCTGTAGATGGGGCTGAGTCACTGTCACTGCTCCTGTTTTAAATTTCATTTGTGTAACGTGGAAAAATGTAAAAGAAGACCTTTAATTGCTCATAATTAAACTTTGTGCATGTCAATTTTTTACTCTGCTATTATTAAACATATAAGTGCTTATTAGTAAGAAAATTTTCTAAACTTATTACTTACACAATAAAGAAAATTACACTCGGGCTGAAGAATCTGGCCACATAACTTCAGTAATTAGAAGGATTAAAACCATCAACATACTTAGTTTCTCCCAACTTCTAAAACTATCAATTATTTTCTTATTGTTGAACATAAATATTTTAGGATGTATTCCGGGAAGTAGCACTAAGAATTTTCATATATTCATCAATTTAAGAAATTGTGCAAAACAATATACATATATACATCCCCAAATACACGCACACGTGTGTGTGTATACATACACACAAACACACTATATATACATAACTGAATCCTCGTTTTTTGAAGGCTTGTACAGTATGGAAAATTTAAATATTTACTAGATTTGAAGACATACATTTTTCCTCCATTACCTCCCCCACATGTATATAATAACAGAAACATAATTATATCAAACAATTAAACTGAATTGTCAGTTTGTTTTTGCAAACTCAACAGAAAGCATTTATTATTATGAACCTTTATTAAGTGGCTCACATTTCAATATAAATCACACTAAAAAGATTTTTTAAAGCTATTTACACTACAGTGCTGACACATTTAAAATGAAAAAAAAAAGTCAGTATAAATAAGCTCTATGAAAAAACCTTAAATTGTGAAAAAAGAACTCTGGCTCATATTACAAAAAATATATTTATAATGATTTTGTCAGTTCCATTCTAAAACCTAAAACTCCAACTGCCATGACTTTTCTACAGTCTCCTTTTGACTTAACCTGCAAGGATTACAGTGCTCCAGGCCTAAGTGCGTGCTACTTCACAGCTGTGGACAGGCACTGAGGAATGTTACACGGCTACATAAACTAGATTTTGTAATAGACTTGAGAGCAATTCCTAGGCTTGCTTTCAGATTTCATGAATCATTATTACAAATTATTTTTTAAAAAGAATTTTAAATGCAATGTACAAATTTAGCACAAATTGTCATCATCGTTTTTATCTTGATCTGAACGTATAGAACTATGTTGCCTTGTATCTACTATATTAATGAGACTTCCAGGACACAATTCTTCCTTTAAGTCTTTGTTACTATTTTCAAATTTAGAATCCATGACAATCTGAAAATCTGAAAATTGAACACGCTCCAACTTTGTCTTAACATTCTTGCCCTCTGTATTATTCGGTAGTCTAGTCTTTTCAGGTATATTAACTTTCACAGGTTCTTCCTTGATTCTTGTAGACGCAATAGGTTCGTGTTTAATCTGTTGTACTTCATATTTAGGATGAAGTTTGTCTGAAAACACAGACTCTGATGAGGTTTGGTTCACAGCACAAATTATGTTGTCAGTGTGAGGTCCGAGGACTGATGATGTGGAAGCTGATGATACACATGATTCATGAGTAACTGCACTGTGACAGGTGTCCTCCTCTGTGTGGTATAACTTAAGTCGAACATGCCATGCCAAACTGCACACAGCAGAAACTGTCTTGAACTGATGAACAACGTTCCTCGGAATAAAATAAATGTCATTATCATACAGCTGAATCCTGGCATAGCGAATGCCTTCTCTCCTCAGCTGATTAAGTTTTGCATCATCAACCCACTGGACACACTAAAAAACAACACAAAACAAAACAAGAACACAGGTAAGTCTTTTGCACAACAAAATCTAAATGAAAAATGATAATTATTTAAGTTTTACCTGGGACAGTGGAGGTTCATGTAAATCTAACTGCATTCGTTGAACTACTTCTAAGAAATCTTCTGCATGAAAACAAATTACATCTTTGGTTATTCGGGGTTGATCAGGCCTATAAAGAAGGAGGGTGATAATAAAGGAATTTTCCATTAATGTTTCATTCTGCTAAGTCCTTAATAAACTCAAATAAAACTAGTTTATCATCAACACCAAAATCTTCTTACAAATAAAGAGAACTACTTTATATATTTAAATCCAGAGTTTACACCATGAGTTCCAACCTAAACAGACTAACAACTTTCTTTACTTTAGTATCGCTGTCATAATTATCAGTAAATTACACAAACCATAAAAATTAAATATCTCATTTTAAAATGCAGTTCAATTTTTCTTGAAGGTTTGCAACACCACTGTGTGGCCCAATAAAGGTTTTAAATGACATATACCTTTAATTCCAGCATTTGGAAGGCAGAGGCAGGTGGATCTCTGTGAGTTTGAGGCTAGCTTGATCTACAAAGTAAGTTTCAGGACAGTCATACATAGTAAGGCCAGCTACATAGTAATATACTGTCTCAAAAACCACAAAAGAAAAAAATTAATAAAATAACAGTAGTTAGTATGAGCAAGAACCTGGGTTCAAGCCCTAGCACAGCCATTGCCAACAAAAACTCAACAGTGGGGGCAGGAGCAGCAGTTCAGTAGTGAAGAGCACTCACTGGCTGTTCTTCCAGAGGACTCAGGTCCATCTCCAACACCCATGTGACAACTCACAATTGTTACTCCAGTTCCAGGGCATCGGATGCCCTCTTCTGGCCTCAGCAGGCACTGCACATGTGGTATTCAGGTAAAATGCTCAGGCACATAAAATAAATCTTAAAAAACAACAACAGTAGTTCTATGTACCGCTGTCCACAGTGCACAGCCTTCAGCACTCCAACAGCAGCTGTAGTCTGTCGCTCAAAGCCTTGTCCTATGTGATCCGCATGGGCTCTCGTCCTGTCTTCAAACAGCATCTCCCGAGGCTCACTGGTCCGAGGTAGATACTGCAGGTTTTTTATTTCATTGGTAGTTCTGTTTTTTAAAAGAGATTTGCATTTAAAAACTGAGGCTTGTTTCCTTCTCAGACATTCCATAATCAAACAATAAAAGACAAAAGGAAATGCTTAATTCTTAAAATGAATAAAGGCAAACAAAAACTAGACATGTCAATTCCCTAGTCTGGCAAATGCCTGGAGTTTGGGGCTACTTTGTATGAGACTGTGCACTTACCTGATCCAACACATACTTCTAGAATTAACACCCTTTTTTCTTGTTTCTTTTTTTCTTTTGTTAGGGGGTTGGGGGATTCTTCACCACAGGGTTTCTCTATGTAACAGCTCTGAATGTCCTGGAACTTACTCTGTATAACAGGCTGGCCTCTAACTCACAGAAATCCGACTGCCTCTGCCTCTCAAGTGCAGGGATTAAGTGCGTCACCACTGTCCTGCTAACTTCTAAGTTTTTAAATGCATTAATTCAATATTCATGACATATGCTTTATGCCTGGTACTATCTAAGTATTGAGACTAGTAAGGGAGACTATAGTGACAGATGAGGTACTACTCTTAGGAGAATTTAAAAGAAAGATAAAAAGTAAATTAGCAAAAAAGGTTCTCTCCCTCCCCCAAATTAACTGGGCAGTGGCTCCACAAAACAGTTTACTAGAGGCAGAAAGAAAGCCTTCAGCTCTGTTTTGCAAGATAGCCACCTTCCACTGGCCGTCTTGTCCTCTCGTCTTCTAGAATTCCTAGGCACACAAAACCTGCTACCCACTTATCCTCACACACTGCAGAGGTTATCTCCAAAGTCAGTCTACAGAATGGGGAAATGGGTGAAACTAACACTAACCAGAAGCTATCATTTCCCTCTCTGCAGTATGTTTTTGCTATTCCAGCTTACCCCCATAATTTGTCCCTTTCCTCATTTCTCCTCCCGTGTGTGAGTCATTCACTAGTTGTAACTCTCCACTCTACTGCTTGCTGTTCTTTGTGCATCCCTGCGTTCATCTTATCAGACTGTAATATACTGTTTTGCTCTTTATGATTAATATTCTACCTGTGTCAGAAAGTTCAATCATGCTGTTGCTTTCTACAGAAAGCTAACAGATTTCAAGCTGACATCACATTCAAATCCCTCAACACACAAGCAGGATGAGGTACTGTTATTATTTGGACTGCAACATGCCATGAAAGCATCACATATATATCATGGGCTCTAAGCCTTATAGTACACAGAAATTCCTCCAGGGACTGGTGAACCCTTTTAAATTACATCTAGAAGTTTGTGTCTATATTATTCTGGCACCAGAATTTCTGATTAACGTTAAGTTCCTGAAACAGGTGAGGTGTAATGGTGTACACCTTTAATCTCAGCACTTGGGAAGCTGAGGCAGGCAATCTCTGAGTTCAAGGCCACCCTGATCTGCACAGTGAGTTCCAGGACAGCCAGGGCCATGTAAAGAGACCCTGTCTCATAATAATAATCCTGAAGCAAGCATTGAGAGGGCTGGAAAGATGGCTTAGCAGTTAAAAGCCAGGATTGCTCCTGCAGAGGACCAGAGTTCAGTTTCCAGAGTCCAAGTTGGGTGGCTCAAAACCACCTGTAACTCCAGCTCCAGGGGGTGTAACACCTCTGCACTCCACAGGTACTTGCACATACCCACACACAGACACAGCACTTGCATATACATGAACATACCCACAAATGCACATACCCACACAGACACATACCCAAACAAAAACACATAATTTAAAAAAATTTAAAGTAATCTTTCAAAAAAGAGAAAAGAATAAGCTCCGAAAAACACAATTTTAGGACTGTTACCGACTTAGAAAAGAACTCTTTGATTCCATTACTTATTAAGCAGTAGACACCACCTAACAAGTCAACAAGTCCCTGCATCAAGAGAACTACCAGCTACTCAATGTCATCTTGTCCTGTCTTGTTTCTTGTCTCAGATTTATTCATTTTCTGTATATGAATGTTTTGCTTGAATAGATGTAATACATCATGTGTGTGTCTGATGCCTTCAGAAGTCAGAAAGAGCACTGGATCCCTGGCAATGGATGGCTGTGAGCCACCATGTGGGTGCTGGGAATGGAACCTGGGTCTTCTACAAGAGTAGTAAGTGTTCTTAACTCCTGAGCCATCTCTCCAGATCCTGTTTTGTTGTTTTTAATAATCCATGTAACCATTAAAATCATTTTAGGTATCTACAGAAAAAAAGCCACACTCTCCCCTAGCACCCCAAACTCTATGACCACAAAGTTAACTTAGTGTGCATTTTTCCAACTTTTGATCCATGTACACATACAGTTTTTAAAATAAATTTTAAGTTCTTTGAGAACATCACACATGCATAAAATATATTTTCATCATAATCACCTCCTACTCTTCCCTATAACTCCTTCCAGATCTCCCACCTCCCTGCCTCTTTAATAACCCAACAAGCTCTTTTTGTGCTGTTCATGGGTGACAGAAAACATACACTGGGACAGAGCTGACCTTTCCGACCAGGGACAACAATCTTAAAAAAAAAAAAAAAAAACTGGACTGTCCCTCCTTCAGAAACCATCAGCTGTCAACAGGCTGGAGTCAAGGCTCATGATTCCCTACCCCTCCATGCTAGACTGCTAACTGGCTTGATCTTCTGCTGGTCTCATGCAGGCGACCACAGTTGTGAGTTCACAAATGCAGCAGTCCTTTATTTCCAGAAGATACTACTTCATCAGGGTCCTCTCTGACCTCTGGCTCTTACAATCTTTCCTCCCTCTCCTGTATTAACCGTCTGGGTAACGGGGTGTTATCAATATCCCATTTAGGGATGAGCACAACACTGACACTTATTCAGTACACTCTGACCAGTTGTGAGTTTCTGTGTTAACCACTGTCTACTATACAAAGATCAAAGTGCTTTTTTGAGCCAGAGTTCCTTTTGTAACTTTGAACTTGCTATATAGCACAGACTGGCCCATTGTACTTGTAATCTACCTGCCTAAACTTCCTGAATACTGGGACCACAGGCATGAGCCACCATACTGTCAACACAAATACATATTCACAGACAGTTTTTTTCCTTTTCATAAAAACAGAATAATAAAAGAGGCATGGTAATGCATGGCCTGTAATCCCAACAGTTAGGAGATTCAGGCAGGAGAACCTCAAACTCAAGACCAGTTCAGAATATATAACAAGACCCTGTCTCAAATAATCATGTTAGATTCATTCCTCGTTACAGTGTGAAATAGTCATCTGGAAGGCCAGAGACACAAACTTAAGAGAATTCTGAAGGACATGAAATCACAAAGAGAATTTACTGAAATACACTGCAGCAAGCCCAGCAAAGGGACGAGAGATAAAAGGCAGTAGATGTTCTTTTATAGCAGCTAGAGGAGGAGTTATGTGGTCTTATCCTGGGCCATTTGGTCCTTGTTTGGATAGGTAAGTGAGCATCTTCATTACTTTGTTTAGTAAGCGTGGCAGCATTATTTCTCACAATACTGGATATCTGTGCAGGTCCTCCTGCCATTAGGAGTTGGGCTCCAGATGGCTGTGGAAGAAACCATGTCAATGGAGTCAGCCTCCAAGTAGCCCCTGCCTGATAAAGTATGATCAGTTTTGCTCTCATTTTTGACCTTTTGCCTCTACATTGATTTTTTCTACAGTTTGCTCTTTTTAAGTGTCATGAATATTATAACATTTAATCTTGTCAGCTTGGCTGGATGTGTAATCACCTAGAATACATACCTCTAGGTTTGTCTTTGAGGGAACTTCCAGAGAGATTTAACTGAGGAAGGAAGACCTATCCTGAATACAAGGGGTGCCATTCCACCAGCTAGAGTTCCAAACTAAAGAAGAGTTCTCCAAGGAAAAGCCCAAAAATGACTGGCACTCCTCTGTTGCTGATGTGGACAGAATAGGAGCAGATGCCTCGTGCTCTGCTGCCATGGCGGCTACTCCTCTAAAACACTTCGTTCACTACATACAACACACACGGCCTCTTCCTTGAAACTGCTGTCAGATAGTTGTCATGGTGACCTACAAAGTAACCAACACAAATACCCTTCCAGATCTTAAGAATATTTTACCATTACTTTTTCCAAGAATATATGAAATATACTCACTCAACCATTCCCTAAAGGTGGACATTCAGATCCATTTAAATTTCTTTCTTACTACAAACAATGACACAATTAATATTCCTACATACTAGCTTTCAGTATTTTTATTTCTCAGAATAGATCTTCCAAAGGGTAAGAGATCACAATTAGATGTTACTTTCACAAAACTGTAACTGCTTACTCTTCTATAAACAATATATAAAAGGCTTACTTCATATGCCTGTAAGTCTGTAATCTTGTTGACAAAATAATGAACAGAAATCAACCTCCACCCCCACTATCAAATAAAACTCACCTGCCAAGTGATTGTTTTTCTACTGGATTTTTACATGTTCTCATCAGCTGGGAAATCTCCTTGGTGAATTAGCTTTAGTCTGTCACATTTTAATCTAGTCAATAATTGTTTTGGACTTTCCTGTTGAGACCTATTCTCCCTCAAACAGTACTGCCACTAGGTAGCTGGGTTTGTCTGCTTGGGCCTTGCTAGGAAGATGTCTTTCAGGCTTCTAAGTTTTATGGTGGCATGTTACTGTTTATCAGTTAAGCACTAACATTTTTGATGAGACAGGAACTCTGCCTCTGTTTTCTTTAAGACAGACTACCAACAATTAATTCCAATTTTATTTCTCCACCTTAATAGATACATTAAGTGTAAATATATTCAGATATGTTTATTAGTTTTATCCTCTTCCAATAATCTACTTGAGGATTTGGTTGGTTGTTTTGTTTTTTGGTTTTGGTTTTTCTCTATGTAGCCCTGGCTGTCCTGGAACTCACAAGAGATGTGCTTGCCTCTGCCTCCTGAGTGCTGGGATTAAAAGCGACTACTTGAGTCTCGTGGTAATTTTCAGTAACTCTTAGTGCCCTTTACTTCCTTCTTTCAGTTTCTTCTTTTTAAAGTGTAAATTCATTCTCTCCAATTTTAGGAGTAAAAGTGCAAGTGAAATGAAAAACCAGTTGAAGTGTCCATCATTCCTCTCCAATCTGGAAGACTTTCCTTTTCCCTTTGCATTTTCATGTCTTCCCATAAGGTGGGTTAGCTCTTAATACAAGTTTTGAATATTTGTTAAATTTATTCTAAAGTTTATTTCTCTGTATGAGTGACATCTTTTCTACTCCTGTTGTAGAATATTATTTTAAGATGTGCTACATTTGTTTATGCTGTGGAACATTTGTTTAATGACACAAAGATGTGTTGCATTCTTTTATGTTGCATTTGTTTAACTCTGTGAAGCTGTGTTACTCTGCCTATCTAAAATACCTGACTGATCTAATAAAAAGCTGGATGGCCAATAGCAATGGAAGAGAAAGGATAGCTGGGGCTGGCAGGCAGAGAGAATAAATAGAAGGAGAAAAGATCAAGTAACAAGAAAAGGAGAGAAGGAATCCAGGGGCCAGCCACACAGCCAGACATGAAGTAAGAAGGAAGGAAAGATATACAGAAACAGAAAGGAAAAAGTCCAGAGCAAAAGGTAGATGGGATAATTTAAGAAAAGCTGGCAAGAAACAAGCCAAGCTAAGGCCAGGCAGGCATTTACAGAGAATAAGCTTCCATGTGATTTATCTGGGAGCTGGGTATTGGGCCCCCCAAAAGAGTAAAGAGTCCAACGAGTAAAAAACAACCAACTACACACTCCTGGTTGTAATTTATTCTCATTTGCTTACTTCTCATGTCTCATTATTGTGGGTGTTTTATAACCAAGTATATTAACATATTGCCTATTTTGGGAATTTTCTTCCACTTATGCTATAAATTTCTCCTTCTTCTACAATACACACACACACACACACACACACACACACACACACACACACACCCCAAACCATCCTCACTTGTGCATAACAAACCTTTTCCTTTTGAAGGGTGACTTTGGCATATCAGCCACAGGGATCATTTGTTCTCCTGGACGCACCCACATGATGGGACCGTCATCACTATCTTTGCGACTCTCTAATTTTAGACTAGATAGTGTTCCCCACGGCAATGTACACTAGAAACAAATAATTACACAAATTAATTATTTTCAAAATATATCTTCAAATACACACTAAAACTATTGCAAGGAGGGATATGTGGTTGGGGGTGGGAAAGAGAAGAGGGAAATGGTGTAATCATATTATAATCCCAAAAGAAAAAATAAAAAGTTGACCTGAAAGTCATCAGATGAAACAGATTGATAATCAAAAAAAACTTACTCTTTAATTCTCCTTATAATAATCTTTACAATGTACTAACAAAGGCTAAAATTAGACTGGAGAAAAAAATTTATTCATATGTTTTAGCTTCAAAAGGTTCTGCTTCAAACACACCAGAAAAACAACTGCACTCCGATGATTCAGTGAACCACACTGCTAAGAAGTAGGAGTCAATGTATTCATCATTGATCATTTTTCTTTTGAGCAAACACAGGGTTATATATTTTTAATAAGTCGTGAAAATTAGCAAGTGGTCTCTACACACAACAACCTTGAAAACAAACTTGAGTTTTAAAGAATAAAATGCTTCCTTAATTGGTGATAATCAAATACTAACAACATCAAAAACAGAACCAAACAAACTACTTGTTTAGTAGTTTCTTGAAAAGGGTGATTGTCTTCAAGCAGAAGCTAAATTTTTAAAGAAGTGAGGGAGGACGGAAGGAAGAGGACAAGATCACTAGGACGGAATGACGGGGTTTTCAATCACCTCATAGTCCCATTGGGAAAAGAACTAAGTTTTCTAGAAACAATGCTTAAAATAAAATTTGAAGCAACTATTTCAGTAATATTCTACAAAATACTGCTTAATAATGATTATTTGTACTTGACTCGCTGGAAAAGGAGAAAGAAACAAAAAGTTTAAAAGTTATAAAGAAAGAAAAGTAAAATAAAGGGAAAGTAGAGCCAGCATATATAAACGCATAGGCAGGCAATCAGTCACACCGGAGTGAATGACAAGAGGTAACAGCTTATGTGTGCTGTGTGCCACGGCCCTACATTTCAGGAGAGGGTCACACTCATCTTTGAATTAGTGATTACTAAATAATTAACTACCTAGTTCAGAGATTTCTCCCTCAATGGGATACCCCAGGTAACCCATAGTAAGTGCAGCCAGCAGCTGCTTCAAAACTAAAAGGGAGGGCTGGCAAGACAGCTCAGCACTGAGCTCACACAAAAAGGTGACCTGAGTTTGAGCCCCATAATTCATGCAAATGTGAAAAAAAGAGGTGACACTTAACATGAAAAGGCCGGGGGGGGGGGGGGGGGGGGGGGCGGGCACAAAGCTGTCTGCTGATGGTCGCATGCACCTATGGCACATATGTGCCCCAACCCCACATATACTAATAAGAATGAGCTGCATGTTTTATACAGCTGTGCAATCCCCCAGGCCAGTTTCCCACATGTCAAGCCTCCACACCTTGGTTCCTAAAATGTGTGCTAGGTATCCTTTCTAGGAGTCTTAAATCCTTTTGTGCTTCATCTACAGGAACAGGCAATGTCAGTTGCTGGCTCACCCTTTAACTCGGCCAGCACAATTAAGACTGAGAAACTACACACATACATAGCACAAAATTACAGTTTCCTTCCTTTTCCTTCTTCAGATTTAAATAAAATTTTTAAAAAATTAATTCTAAACAGCCATTCTTCTGTATCAATAACCTGAAAGCAACGCCCACAATTTAGAATGCTAAGACTTTCTCTTACTTTTAAAAATGGTGATTCCTCCAACATGTCAAGGAACTCAGGGAAGAAATCTCCCACTTCTTCATCAACAGCTCCCACCAAGCTTATCTGTCGCATGGGGCCAGCTCTGTAAGTACCATGAGAATATGTTCTTTTTACCTGAGGGACATGAATTTAATTAAAAGTTAGACATGTAGACATCAAGTGTTTGCTATTGTTGCATAACAATGAATTACATCATTTCAGACTAATAGAACATGGTAAGAAATAAAGAAAATACAAGGCAAGAAAAAACAAAAGAAGTCTGTAATAACAATAGAGGCATTTTATAGAAAAAATATGAATTAAGCCAGCTAATTTCCATTTCTTTCTCTGCAAACCACTCATCAGAAGAGTTCAAATAAACAACACTGTATAGACAACTGACTGCACCATCTCCTAATAGCATAAGAATTCCTTGTTTGATACATGATGCTACTAAGAATATTCAAAATGACACATCATTTTTCTAAATCAACAGCTCCTATCTTTTATTACAACTGTCAAATTACCCCCATTACCAGTGGTTTAAATGTCAAAAGCCTCTAAAGATTATCTTTCATTCAGGATCAAGATCTTAACTAGTGGCCAGTTCACATTTCTATCATGAATGAACTCTGATGAAATGGTTGAAATTCAGAGTTGGAAATCCTAAGCCACAAACTCACTTCTGCTATCAACCAGCTAACTTCAGATATCACATCAACTCCTTCTGCTCTCATTATGACCCCAGATTATAGAAGAAAACGTAATGGTCATTATATAAAGCCCCTGTTAAAATGCTAGCCACTGTGTGACATCCAAATGTTCAAAACAAAGCAGCCTACATCTTTGGGTTTGCTGACACTTGGATTTCCACAGGCACATTTACTCCTCACAGAATGATGGTTTGTTAGCATACAGAGAATAGAAAAGAGTAGGTATTACTTTAAGCTTCTTTTCCTAAACAAGCTTTAATCAAATTCCCAATGATCATTTTTTTCCAAAATAAGACTTTGTGGCCACTGTATTTAGAAGATCGGCTGATCAGTTTGCCTAGGACTGACCTTCCTAGTTTAAAACACAGTCCTGTAATACAGGCAAACCTAGATGACCAAGCTTTTGTCCCCTTATAAAATCTATACAACTGCAGTGACATAGTATTAAGTTATGCAAAGTACCTTAGTTCCAATCCACATACTTTAGGAAACATTACAGTAAATATTCTATTATACTATATATAGAATAACTGTAAGACATGAGAATTTTACTTTTATCAAAATCAACAAGCATTGATTCCTTAAGTTTTTATCATAATGAGCATTGTTTATAAGAATTTCAAAGTTCAACTTTTCATTATCCATTAAAAAATTCACTGCTTGGATTCACAAACCAAGCCCCAAGTCACAAAACGTATAGATTATACCCCATCTTACAGTAAGGGTCTTACCTTTTTCTGTCTCTTAAAAGGTCCTATCATCAGCGGTTCTCAACCTTTGAGGTGCACCAGATATTTACATGATGATTCATAACAGTAGCAAAATTACAGTTATGAAGTAGCAATGAAATAATTTTATGGTTGAGGGACATGAGGTACTGTACAAAAGGGTCACAGCATCAGGAAGGTTGAGGACCACTGTCCTATAGAAACTAAACTGAAAGTCTAAACTTGACTTTCCACCACTCTCAGGCTCTAGTAGCTTATGTGCATAAACAGCACCATAGTAGGAAACTTGGTCTTGAGTGTGGTTCAGTAAGGTAGTCTTTAACAAAGCTAAGGTTACCAATCTGAACTCTAGTGAATATATCAGAATACAACACGAAACTCTGTTAAATGATTCTGCATTCGTGTCCTTGGTTTGAGATCTGCCTGTGACCATATGAGTTATAAGACATCGAAAGGCTATTTAATAGAGAAATGAGGGCTGAGGATACAGATGTGTGGAATCTCTAGCCTAGCATTTATAAAGTCTTGGGATTGATCCCCAACACAGGTGAAGAGGGGGAAGGGAAGGGAAGAAGTAAAACCAACTTACGCTGTAAGAGTCAAATTTGTAAGGGTTTTGAAATGTAACAAAGGACAATTTAGGGAGGGAATATTTCTATATCACAGAGGCAGTTACGTTTCCTGTGCGTACATTTATTTAAATCAGATACTTAAATATCACCTATGTCTCTAACTAGTTCTAAACACCAATAAATCCTTGTTTTTGTTTGTACCCATGTACAAAGAGAAAAACAAAAATACCAAAGCAATGGTGGTGGAGGCACACACCTTTGATCTCAGCAGAGGTGGGTGAGTCTGAGTTCGAGGCCAGCCTGGTCTACAAAGCAAGTTCCAGGACAGTCAGGGCTCCACAGAGAAACTCTGTGTGTGTGTGTTTGGGGGTGGGGGGGGGGGGAGGGAGAAGGCTGCTAGAGACACGGCTCAGTGGTTAAGAGCACTGGCTACTCTTCCGGAGGACCCAGGTTCAATTCCCAGCACCACATGGAAGCTCACAACTGTCTGTAACTCCAGTTCCAGAGGATCTGACACTCTCACACAGATATACACGCAAGAAAAACACCAATAAAATAAATAATTTAAAAAATACCAAAACATTAAGTTATGAAAAATGAGATAAACATATTTCCACTTTACTACATCAAATAATGAACAATGCCCCATTAGTATACGGTTCATCATGAGAGAAAGTGGCCTGTGAAAGGCCTTTTCAATGAGTGAGCTCTTCTAAAGCAGTAAGCACAACTTCAGCATGAGCTCTCCACAGACATGGGTGTGCTTAATACACTTTCAAAGCAAAAGAAAGAAAAGAACTTTTTGTCCTATATGCAATAATTAAATACCTGCATACAAAAGACACACCAGGAAAGAACACTGTCTAAAATGAATTTAAAGGCGATTTAGGAAATGGGGAAATGTAAATCTTAAAGTATAAGTCAATTTAGCTAGTATGTAAATAAAGGCATACTATGTTCGAAATAATTTATTTCTCTAAAAAGTAAAAAGTTGGCTTCTGCCCCACTACCATGTAACTTTTTCTTAAAATTCAGATAACTATTTCCACTCCACAAAAAAAGAGGGAGAAGGCTAGTGTGTGGTGCACACCTTTAATCCCAGCACTCAGGAGACAGAAGCAGGCAGATCTCTATGGTTGAGTCCATTCTGGTCTATATAGCGAGTTCCAGGACAGCCAAGGCTACAGAGTAAGACCTTTCAAAAACAAAGGGGGTAGATAGGTGAGCCAGACCTATTGGGGAAGTGGCACAGGGTATTGTGAATTTGAGGCCAGCTGAACAAGGGAGGTGGAGATACTAAAACCATGATTAAGCTTTAAAAAACAATAGCTAATAAATTAATTTATCATTAACAGGAAAAAATGGGTCAAACCTGTTAGAGGCAATAGTGCAAAAGGTATATTGTAATATTATTCAACTGTATTAACTGATTCTGGCTGCTTTAGATGACAACAATCATTTCATTAATTAAAATTCTTTATTAATCCAACCAAAAATATGTTGAAATGCAACATTTAACCAACTGAGACAAACCCATATGAAATCAGTTAGAATAATTCACTTGAAGTTTTAACCACAGTAAAGTAATAATAAGGTATTCAAGTTGAAAAAGTATATGCCTCTTGGTAAAATATACGGATGACAAATAAACAAAACACATATGCTTTTCATAAAAATACAAATGGTTGATTTTTGACCCCCATTTTATTGCAACAGTGTCATACTCAAAATGTACTTATTGGATAAAGTTCAATAATGCCACATGAAAATAAACCTCCATTCTCTAAAAACCACCTATGACAATTTCTAGTAGGAATGACACAAAAGGCAGTTGGGAGAGAGAAGGGAGAAAGCAAGTATTGGGAGACTCTCTAAGTAACTGAAACAAATGTGACCAGACTGTGGTTCATAAAGTCCCCCACTATAGATATGTAGTCCTGTTTTAGGCACAGTTACAATAATCTTTCAGATCAGATAAAAGGGATTAAAAACCCACAAATCTGGAATGGAGGAGGAGGAACAGTGATAGGCACAGCTGCAGCAGCTCATTATAATGTATTAAGTCATTATAATGACACACTGGGACAGAAATGAGAGTTAAGTCATGGTGCACATGTTCCTTGAACATTTAGTAAAGATATAGTCATATCTTTATGGTCATATGACTTTATCTTTACTAAAATCTTGGCAACTAAAGACTGTATCTTTATTAAAATCTTGGCAACATTAATTAAGAAAAAAAATCACTTACCTGGAAAACCTCAAATCCTGATAAACAGATGTAACACATTTACTTCTATTTACTTCATTAAACCATCAACCCATTACTTTGATATACTTTTAAAAATTAACCTTAAAAAAAAACCAAAAGATGTAACTATTTGCTTCTAAAAAGTAAATGCAATGAATTATAAACATTATACAGTTCCTCTAGATTTGAGCAGGGGATGCATAGACAGATCTCAAAAAAGTCTAGGAAATGACAAGCATGACATATGTAACCATGTATTATTTGCAAAAAACTGTATATACATGGTGCCATTTAGAAGACATATAACATGAGCACCTAAAAAATGTTCAACATCATTTACTCATTCAAAAATACAAATGAAATACAGGACGTAGCTCAGCTGGTAGAGTGCCTAGCATGCAAATATGCAAACCTTCCTGGATTCAAACCACCACCCCCAGGCCGCATGAATCCAAGTATACTGCTTAATCTAAATCTTCCCTGTAGTCTCTTTTCTCCCCCCCCCCAAAAAAAACTATATTATCATGGCTGCACATCTCTGAGTTCAAGGCCAGCCTGGTCTACAGAGCAGGTTCCAGGACAGCCAGAACTACCCAGAGAAACCCTGTCTGGAACTCCAGCTTGCCCCTGCATGATCAGGAAAGCCCCATTCCTGTGTGTGTGGGTGTCTCTCTCTCTCCAAACTCCCCAACTCAGAGAATCTCCAAATCCAAACAAAGGAAAGGCACCAAAAAACTCAGTACCACATTCTTGGCAGCTACTGTGGCTTCCTCCCCTGAAGTTGCCTCTGCACAACTAAGCTCCCAGCTAAAGCTCAGTTTTTGACCAAACTTGGGCACAAACCCAGCTTGTGGCGGACGCGTCATCACCC